AGAAAAGTGAAGCTCAAGAAAGCTTGAGTTGCCTAAAAAGCCACATTGAGACTGCTCATGGGTTAGGCAAGGATGCAGACTCATCGTCTAGCCTTTCATCAAAGCACTTTAGAGCCCAAGCCATCGGAGGTGAGGCTCCATCCGAGGTGGGGAGAGGCCTGTGTCTGAGCCTGTAGGTGGCAGGTAGTCAGAGTTCACAGCACTGGGCTTGGCTTAGAAGGGAAGCCACTAGTGGTCAACAAAGAGTGTTCTGCTTTGACCTGGAGCAATTCCTTCTGTTGGGAGCCAGACCCTCAGTCCCCAGGGCAGTGTCCAGATAATGACCTTCATGCCAGAGTTGTAATAGCTGGCTTTCCAAAGAGAAAGAATCACAAACCAGGGGTGGTGGCACATGCCTATAATCCCAGCGGCTTAGGAGGCTAAGGCAGGATGTTTGCAAGTTCAAAGCCAGCCTCAGCAACTTAGTGAAACCCTAAGCAGCTTAGGGAGACCCTGGCACAAAACAAAAAGGGCTGTGGATATGACTCAGTTATTAAGACTTTGTGGGTTCAATCCCTGATACCAAAAACAGAAAAATCACACACCACTATGCAAGCTACATGGAATGCGTTTCAACAACATGCTTCTCCGCTGTGTCCCAGTGTTGATATGGCCCACAGGTAGAGCTAACTGCTGTGTGGAGGAGGATTGCAGGCCTGCTGAGCTCCAGGAGGTGACCTTTTGATGATATTAATTTTGTTGGGCCAAGTGACTCAGAAAGAGCTGAACTTGGCTCTGCCCATCACCCCACCTCCCCACAGGCCTCCTACGGAGCAGATCCAAGGAATGTTTTTTTGTTTTAAATTGAACCACTTGCTAACTGGGCTGATGCCCAAGAGCTCAGACCAGAGGCCTTGATGGGTTGGGTCTGCACTTCAGTCTGCACACTGCTGTGTTCTCCTCCAGTTCCAATCCTGAATCTTAGAGGCAGTGGGCTCCTGACCTGAAGCCTGGGACCTGGCACTGAGACCTGTGAGAGGAGCAAGGGGACTGCCCTGTCTTGCTGTCAACTCAGCCATGCAGGAGGGTGGAAGAGCAAGGTGGTCAGGCCAGTAGCATGTCCACTCCCCAACCTTGTGGAGCTGCAGGCAGAAGAGCCCTCCCATGCATGACCTTGAAACTCCCAGAAGCCTCACCCACAAACCCCAAGTCTGACTCCTCAGCGGGAGCAATGTGGAAGGTGTGTGGAGGAGGGGACAGCGGTGTTCTGGGCTGCTTTAAACTGTCTTCAAGAGCCACTGTACATACCTTCTCCCACCTCTGTGCTCAGTGATGCCCACAGCATGAAATCATTTGTCTATACCACAGAAAATAGCAATCACTACAGATCAGAGCCTGTTTTGCTCTGGTGTTATGAGAGTCAGGGTTCTCCGGAGAACCAGCACAACAGAGAGTTATTAGATATCGGCTCCCATGATTACAGAGGCTAAACCATTCCAAGGTCTACAGTCATCAAGATAGAGACCCAGAGGAGCCCATACTGTAGTTCTAATCCAAGGCCAGCAGGCTCAAGACCCAGGAAGAACCAATGTTTCCATTCAAGTCCAAAGGCAGGAAAAGACTGAAGCCTGGGCTCCAGGAGTCAGGCAGGAGGGGTTCCCTCACTCAGTCTTTGTATTCAGATCTTCAGTTGACTGGATAAAGCCCACCCACACTAGGGAGGAGCAATAAATGTCCTCATAGAACAACCAAAAGAATGCTTGCTCCAGGGTCTGGGCACTCTAGGGTGTGAACTGACATATAACCTTAACTATCACAGGTGCTCCGTTTTGAGAACCAACTGTCAGACACCACTTAGATAGCTCTGTTCCTGACACCCTCCCAACTGCAAGTTCAGCAGGAAAGGGCCTCAGCCCTCAGCTCTCCCTGGCCTCAGCACACTCACCTCTCAGGCTTTGGAATCTCCGCATCTCTGAGATCCTCCCCACACCCCAGCCACTCATTCCCATTCTTGTTGAATCCCCATTCCCTGGCCAATACTGTAGCAGATCTAGGAAAAGAGAGCGGATAATGGAACCCAGAATGTACACAGATGGCCCTAAGGAGGACTTGTAGGGTTCAAGCTAAATGAGTGAGGCTGCCTGCAGGGCCGAAGGACCACAGCAGGCAGGGCCAGTAGTGAGGCTGCACTGACTCGGGACCAGGACACAAACCCAGCAGCCAACAACTTCGAAGATCCCAGCCACCCAGGAGGCTAAGGTAGTAGGATCCCAAGTTTGAGCCCAATCTGGATAACTTAGCAAGACCCTGACTCAAAATACAAAATAAGAAGGGTTGTGAATGTAATTCAGAGGTAGAACACTTGCCTAGCATGCCTGTGACCCTGGGTCCTAGAACAGTACTCCTCTCATCTACCCTGGTTGCTGGAATATTGTGGATTGTGAATATAAAGCCAAATAAGACACTGGTGTCAGAACCATTGCCCTCAGAAACTGATAAGACCCTCACATAGCCAAGGAAGACCTTGTTCTATATGTTTACTAAAGCACTAGCCCTGTGTCAACTAGGTAAATGGGATCCTTCTCTGGGCTTCGGTTTCTCCTTGTCAAGTGAGCAGCTATGCCATGCATTCTTGGTGCTGCCACAGCATGGCCAATGCCCACCTGCCACACCCACTACCTGCTCACCAGGACCTGGTTGCAGCAGGACTGTCTGAGTGTGATGCCCGCTCCTTGTTTTAGTACCTGTGGTCTGTGTGGCAAGATGCGGCAAGCCTAGTGAGGAACCTGGATGTTAGGTCTGGGGGCTTGGGAAAGGCAATTTTGGTCCTGCTCAGAGCTTCTCACAACCTGGCAGGATTTCACACTGGAGTGGAATAAAGTGCTACCTTCCTGACCAGCTGGGGAGGTGCCAGAACCTATGTTAACTTTATTAGATTTATGTACCCAAGTATTCAACCCAGTCTTCTTCAAAACTGTGTTAAAAGATCAAACTAGAATAGGTGGCTATTAGCATCTATTATTTATTGGCCATGGAACTCTTTTTTTTCCAAACAAATGCTTTCAGGAAAAGTCCACTGTATAACCAACATGGAACTTCTTTTGATTCCAGCAGGGGAGAGCCAGAAGTCCAGCCCCTGTGTCCCCCTTCCCCAAGGGGTGCTAGAGGCCTCAGCAGGGCCCTGTTACTAAACCTCACATCTCATGTCCTCTTCTGGCCTTGCCCAAGCAAAAGGGCAAAGGTCACAGGAACAAGATTTCAAGTCAACATCAAAGGACACTTACACTCATCACTTCTCTGTGATGGGAGAGGCTGTCTGGGGAATGAGAGAGGAGACTGGAAGATGGAATGATTGTCAGGGAGAAGAACAATGGTCTTCAAAATGAGGTACCAAATCCAGAGGTGTGCAAGATGATCCACCGGAATGATGCCAGAATAAATATTAGCATTTGTCCTGGTTTAGGTTTTCCTAGAAGTTGACCCTGAGAAAAGAATTCAAGGGCAAGTTGCCTTATAAACTAGAGTTTAATTGCCCTGGGAAAATCTTCAGAAGGCAATGTAAAACATGCACTTCAAATTGTACCCCTCAGGGGCTGAGGGAGCTGGGTGTCAGATACACTAACTTCCACCAGCGAGGGCAGCGCCTGGGGGTGTGGTGCCTCTAGCCTCCACACTGATAAACCTGACCTGGCAGGTCACTTATAGGTGGGCATTCCTCCTTAGCACACATAACTTTCAGAACAACATGCAAGTTCATTGGTTACCTACAGCAAAATACTTAAAAGAACTAAGTGCAAGTTGTTACACAGTCTTCTCTTACACAAAAGTGAGTATCCTGAATCTGCTGACCTCCATGGGGACAGTGACTATCAGTAATATGATAGTTGACAGACACATTCCAAGAAATGAACTCATACTATAAGGTAAACTGTCTTTTAACAGAAGTTTTATTGAATATATTTTTTATTTTGAATTAGTTTAAGCTTAACATAAAAGCTGCAATGATAGTACAGAGTTCCAACATCCCCTCTCCCCGACTCTCTCCTAATGTTCACACTGGCTACATGATCACAGCAAAATGATCAAAACAAATTCACATTGCATAACATTGTCAACTAAACCACTGACGGTATCTAAATTTCACCAACTTTAACCCCATCGTTTCTTTTCCAGAATCCTATCCAGTATCCTACATCGCTCCTGCCCATTCTTTCTTTTTTCTTTTTTTTTCTTTTTTGTCTCAAATTGCAGTTGTTTACCAAGGTGCAACTAGCATATGATAAATTGCACATGCTGAAGATATACAACTGGCTGAGTCTTGACATGTGTGTGGGTAAAAACCACCACTTATTTCTCTTAATTCACTGGTTGATGGATGGTTGGCTTGTTTCTAGTTTGGGGCTATTAGAAATCAAGCAGCCAGGGACATCTGTGAACAGTCTGCATGGACATAGGCTTTCCTTTCTCTTGAGCAAATACCTGGCAGAGGAAGAGCGGGGTCAGATGGTAGGGTTAGGGTTCACTTCTTCTCTTACTACTCTGTCTTCCAAGGGAGGTGTATTATTGCACATGTCCCCCAGCACTACATGAGAACCCCATGTCCTCCTCCAGCCTCGGGAGAGTCAGCCTTTTTCATTTTGCCAAACTAATGGGCGGGCAGTGGTAGCTCATTGTGGTTCTAACCGGCATTTCCTTAATGACTAGTGAGAGCTCAGGTTTCTTTCCATATGCTTCTTTGCCATCGTCTATCTTCTTGGTAGAGTGTCTATTATATCTTCTGTATATTGTTATTTTGTTGTTTCTTTTGTTTTAATTCTTTTCAGATGTTGATAGACTTTTATTTTATTCATTTATCTATATGCAGTGCTGAGGATAGAACCCCGTGCCTCACACATGCTAGGCAAGCGCTCTACCACTGAGCCACAACCCCAGCCCCTATTTTGTAGTTTCTTATTCTTGAAATATATATATATATATTTAAATATATATGCATATATATGTATATGTATACATGTATATTCATATTCTGAATAATATAAGTCCTTTATCAGATATGATTTGCAAATATTTTCTCCAAACCTGTGACACATCATTCTTTTAATAGCACCTTTGAAAGAACAAAAAAAAAAATTTCAATTAAGTCCAATTTAACAATATGTATGATTTATTTTTTTTTAAATAGTTAAATCTGCATCTCAGAACTTTTTGCCTCACATAATGTCCAAAGGTTTTCCTCCTGTGTTTTCTTCTAGAATTTTCACAGCTTAGGTCTTAAATTTAGGTCTGTGATCCTGAGGGGAAAACAGCTCATTCCTCCTCTCACACACCACTCAACACTTCTGATGCCAGATGTGTGGGATCCTGGGATCAGTTGCCTTGCTAGGATGGCTCACAGCCCTCAGGGAAATGCTTTTCATATATTTACCCATATATTATAAAGAACATTATGAAGGGTGCAGATCAACAGTCCAGATGGAAGAGATGAGGAGGGCAGGGCATGTGGGAAAGAGGGGGAGCCTCTCTGCTCTCTCTGGGTGTCTTCCATGGGTCCGGCTATCTAGAAGCTCTCCACACCTAGCCTGTCTGGGGTTTTATGAGGGGTCATTACTAGGCATGATTGCTGCATCCTTGGCCATTAGTGATCAACTCAACCTTCAGCCTCTTTCCCCTCCTCAGGGGTGTGGGATTGAAGGTTTCAACTCTTTAAACAGGCCTGGGTCTTTCTGGTGACGATTCTCCACCCTAAAGCTATCTAAGGGTCCTCAGTGACCAGTCACCTAACTAGCATGTAAAAGACATCGCTCTGGAGGTTCCCAGGGTTTTAGGAGCTGTGAGTCATAAAATAAGAGGAAAATCAAGTATATACTGTACTTCTGAGTATCACAGACGGAGTTAGTTTCTGTCCATGAGGGGACTTGCTGATCACAGTTCACTTTTTTGCAGATTAGTATGCAATGGTTCTAGCACCACTTGGTGAGAAGATCCCCACCCCACCCCCAGTTGACTTTGCACCACTGTTGAAGTGCAGCTGTCCATATCTCCTGTTCCTGGATTCTCTGCTCTGTTCCTTTCATCTATCTTGGCACCAATTCCACTGTCTTGTTCCTATAGCTTTGTGATGATGAGTCTAGAAATAAGATAAGGTTGGTCCTACAGCGTTGTTCTTTTTCTAAATTATTTTGGATATTTTATGTCTTTTGTATTTCTGTATAAGTTTTGCTATCAGCTTGTCAGTCTGCAGGTATTTGTTTTGGGCAGTGCTGGAGATCAGACCAAGGGCCTCCCTAGGCAACACCCCCGGCTCCAGCTGGTCAACTTTTACAGAAAGATCACTGAGGTTTTGATTAGCATTGCATTCAATCCATAGATTAATTTGGGGAAAACAGCTTAACACCCATATCAAATATTGTGGCCCATGAATGTGGTATCTCTCCCTTTCTGTCTTCTTTAATGTCCCCGCAGTGATAATTGCTTTGCTTTTCGTGTACAGACTTTGTTATCTCTTTTGCCAAAATTCGAAATAAGTGTTTCATAGTTTTTCACGCCATATAAGTTGTATTTTAAATTTCCAACTTTTTTGTTGTGTGTTGCTATATATGAAAACAGTTTGGCTAGATTGATCTTATTTGTTGTAATGTTACAAAAATGACTTCTCAGACCTCATAGCTTTTTGGAAGATTCAAGAGGACTTTACGGAGCTGATGTTGCTGTTCGTGAATAAAGATGGTCTGACTTCTTCCAGGACTGCTCTCTGACACGGTTGAGAAAGCAACTGCTCTCTGTAAGACACCCTGTGAAGGAAGCATTGGGAATATATTTTATTGTTATGTGAGTTTTGTGGCTCAGTCTGGGGTCCCAGCCTCCTCTCCTCTAGGAAAAACCTCCGCCCCCATCCCATCCATCCCTCACTGATAAAAAACAGTGAGGGAAGAAGCTCGGAATGTTGTCACCAGCCCCCACAGACACAGCTTTGGGCTAAACCAGGGTGCGCACAGGGGGCACCTCTGGGAGAGAAGCAGTTCGTCCCCAGTGGATGGACATTGCCTGAAGGTCAGCAGTCTCCTCCTGGCATGCAGCCCTGCTGAGTTTTCAGAAGCATCCAGGGATGGAGATGGAGTGCTTCTGGAGGGAGCCCGGGGCAGCCATAGATATATTCCACACTCTCCCACCTCCTTTTAGACTTTAAAGAGCAGGAACCAGCACTCTGGCTTTAGAATAGAAAGGGCTTTAGGGTTCACCCACATCCCTTCCTGGGGTCATTCTGCTGTGTGGTTCCCATATTTCTGTCACTGGTTGATTGGCATTTTTCAGGACAATGGATCTCTTGTAACAAAAGATAACTGGCCCTTGCTGTCCCAAAAGACATTGGGATATGGCTCCAGTGAAGGAGATCCCTCCATACCTCTCCCTTCTCCCAGGCATTCTTGTGTACCCTTTCTCCAAGACCCCCGATCCCACTCCCATCCTCCCCACCCACCATCTGTCTTCAAGCTTTGGGCCCTCCAGTCACCATAGCTGTTCTTCCCACGTGGCTTTAAGGAGTAGGATTTGAATTATAATCCACAGTTGGAGGGCACCTGCCCTTTGTAAAAGGTGTGATCCTTTCCCTTTAAAAAGACAGAGAAAGACGTAATGCAGTAATCCCTTGGAAGGGAGTAGGCCCCCCATCCCTAGAGGGGCACCCCAAGAAATGAATAGGTCCCTGTCTGTTGTTCTTCCCCGAGATCCCACACTGGATGACCTTGAGACCTATACCAGTGAAAGGATCTGATCCTCAGGAGGTCCCTCCACTTTGCACCTATTGGGCTTATCAGAGCACCCAGGTCTGTTTGTAACGACTTCAAATTTAAATAACCAAAAAAAAAAAAAACTTCAAATTAAAAAATCCATAGCATCTGAAAGAACATCTAGGCCAACCCTGAGAGGGAGACCAAGGGCCAGAGAGAAGAGGGAATTTGCCTGAGGTCACCTGCAGATCAGAGGGAAGGTCAGAATCCAGGCCCAGGGCTCCTGACCTCAGTCCCACATTTCTTTTTCTGCTTGGATTCTGTCCTGGGAGTGAACCTCTGAGGATTCTGGTCCCTTTCCCATGAGCCAATAGGAAGATGGCATTCCCACAGGAACCCTTGGCTGTGTGTCAAAGAGCATCCCGAGTGAGCCTTACACACCTATGTCCCTATTTATTATCTGTCTTCCCCATCTAGAGGCGAACTCTGGGAAGGCAGGACGTGGATTCTTCCTTGGTATTTCCCCTTTGCCTAGATCATCACCTGATGCTTAGTAAGCGCTTCACAAATATTTACCAAAGGAAGGAAGTGAGAAGGAGAGAAAGAGGGTTCACCAGGGTAAAGGGGGCCTTTTCTGCTATCCAGTGGGTCTCCATCTCTTTGTCTCTTCACTCCCCCCTGCCCATCCCCAGGACCCCTGGCCTGGCCCATATCTCCCCTTCTCTCTATTTCTCCCCACTCCATTCTCCACCCAATAATGCCACAGAGTAAACTTATTAAAGCACAGTATTACTTCTCATTAAAATCCCTCTGAATGGGAGAAAATATTTGCAAAACACATATCTAAGAAAGGACAAGTGTCTTGAATCTATAAAGAACTCTCAAAGCTTAATACAATCAAGCAACCCAATTTTTAAAATGTGCACAAGATTTTAAAACACTTGAACAAAGAAGAGACGGAGAAGTGCATGAAAAGATGTTCAACATCTTGTCGTTGGAGAAATGCAAATTTAAACCATAATGAAGCACATTATTAGAATGGTTAAAATTAGAAAAAAAAACTATCAATACCAAGTGATGACAAGATGCAGAGCAATTAAAACCTTCAGACATTGCTGGTACAAATACAAGACAGTACAGCCGTTTCAAAACAGTTTGGCAGTTTCTCACAAAGCTAAACGTACACTTACCAAATGACCTAGAAATCCTACTCTGAGATATTTGCCAAAGAGAAACAAAAACATGTCTACATAAGGACCTGTACATAGCTATTTATTATTATATCAACTTTATTAAAATTTGCCCAAGCTGGAAACACTGCAAATTCCCCTCTACTTAAGAGCATATAAATAAACCGTGGCATATCCATTCATTGGACTCTAACTCAGCATGGAAAATATAAGCTACTGACACATACAACCTGGGTGAATCTCAAGAGCATCGGGTAAAATGAAAGGAAAAGACACAAATGTCTATGTATGGATGATTCCACTTATATGACACTCTGAAAAAGGCAAAAATCTCTGGATACTAATCATGCTAGTAGTTGCCAGGGGCTGGGATAGGAGTAGGTTGACCACAAACGCACAAGGGAACTTTCTTCCATGTGGTATGACACGGCTCTATGCATTTGTCAAAATTTATAGAATTGTATACCTTAAAAGGATGAATTTTATTGTATGTAAGTTATACTACTATAAATTTGACTTATTAAAAAAAAAAAAAAGACCCATGGCTTCCCACATGCAGGATGAAGCCCAGGCAGCTTACCTTACATTCAGGGTCAGACCTAACCAACCTCTCCTGCCTTCCTCTCCACTCTAGCCCTTCACACCCTCCACACAGCATTTATAAGGAACCGGGGAGTGTGTCCCAACACATCCTGAGCTTTGTGCTTCCTTTCCTTTCCTCATGCTCTTCTCTATGTCCTAAATGTTCTCCTTCTCCCTGGAAGAAGTGAACCCTTTCAGAAAGAAAGCTTGGAGCCAACTAGACCAGGGACCAACCCTGTTCTGCTATTGTACTAGACAGAGATCAAAAATGGTGCAACCTGTGCACATCCTTGCACCAGAGTGTCCTTGGCAATGTGACTTCGCAGCTGCTCTCACTGAGAGATAGAGTCCACTTCCCTTTCCCTGGAATCTGGGCTGGCCTTGTAACTTGCTTTGGCCAACAGAATGTGGAAGAAGTAATGACGTGGCATTCTGAGCCTAGGCTGCAGAAGGCCTTGCATACTTCCTACCAAGCCTGGCCTCCTCCATGAGAATAAGCCTGGGCTACCCTCCGGAGGATGGGAGTCCACGTGGAAGTCTAGGTTTTCCATCCAAGACCATCCCAGACCAACCGACCCCCAACTGACTCATAGGTCCATGAACAATAACAAATAGCTATTGTTCTGAGCCACTGAGTTTTGGGCTGGTTTATGATGCAGCAATAGCTCAGTGATACAGTTAGTAACTCACTATAGCTCTGGGAAAGTCACTCAGTCTCCTCATCTACATAATAGAAGTAATAACACATACCTCGAGGTGCTTTGTGAGGCCCACAAGAGATGATGTACATATTGCCAAGTTCAGTGCCTGGAGCTTAGTCAGTCTTTGATCAGTGGTTATTATTGCTTTTCCAAGTCCAGCTCTTACCCAGTTTTTGAGGGCCAGCTCACATGCTGCTTCTTCTAAGCCACCCTCCCTGAATCTCCAGCTGCACATAGTCTATCCCCTCTCTGAACTCCCCTAGTACTTTCTCCATTCCTCTCCAGTACATTCCGTCCTCAACTCTGAGTCCTTTGGAAACATGGACATGGCCTGAAACGCAGGTGTCTGGTTCAGACGTAGACTCCAATCAGAGAAAGATTAAATGATTTTTGCAATCGTGGGACAGAAAGTCTGTTTTCCTGTCTCCAGCGCAGTGGCTGCTTCTACCACACAAACATCTCTGCTTTCAAGTGCAAACCCAAAGTGCCTCCTTGCACATCCTTGGCACTCAACAAATGTATCTCAAATTGAAACAGCTAAAGAGCTAAACTCCTTAGGGAGCATTGAAAATGTGTAAGAGTTTTGGGACTGTCACAAAGACTTGAAGCCACCAAAATGCAGGCACCAGGAACTCCTACCTCCTGCCCGTGGGTAGCAGAGTTTGGCTAACTAGGAAGAAGTGACCTCCCTATCCCTTGCTGAGGGGTGCTGGCTAGAGAGAAGGGGCTGGTAGCAAGTCTTATTTCTTAACAGACAGTGGCCTGGGGGCAGGCTTTATTATTCCCATTCTACAACTAGGAAAAGAGAGAGACTTACTTAGTAGCCCAGGGTTATTATGCGCTAGAAGATGGCAAAGCCAGGACTGGAACCTGCATTTTGAACCTGAAGCCCGTGAATGTGTCAGAGTTCTAACAGGCCAGCCTGGGTAGGAAGTACAGGCTGATCTGAGTGGGCGTCCCTGGATAGAGCAGAGTCCAGGCTGCCTGCTGGGTCCCTGGTATAAATGCTGAGCTCTACAGAGGAACAGGTGTGCCTTGGGAAGTCAGGTGACTTGTCCAGTGTTACATGGCTTGAAGTCAACAGAACCCCATTCAACTCCCCAAATTCTTTTTTTAGGGTCTATCATTATGTTTTATAATCCCCTGAGGGTTCCCTACCTGTAATTCAGACTCAGGCAAAAGGCAAGTCATACTCTGTCATGGTTTGAATATTAAATGTCTCCCAAAGGCCAGGTGCTAAATGCTTGATCACCAGTCTGTGGGGCTATTGGGGAGGCGTGGGGTGGAAACTTCAGGAGGTGGAGCCTAGTGGAAGGACCTTAGGTCACGGCGGGAGTGGACCCTGAAGGGGATATTGAGATGCTGCTTGCTCAGCCTTGCGCTCGCTCTCTCTCTCTCTCTCTCTCTCTCTCTCTCTCTCTCTCTCTCTCTCTCTCTCTCTCTCTCTCTCTCTCTCTCTCTCTCTCTCCCCCCTTCCTGGCCACCATGAGGTGAGCAGTTCTGCACTGCCACATGCTCCCCATCATAATGGACCCCTCTCACCACAGGCCCAAAAGCCACAGAGCCAACTGATCGTAGACTGAAACTATGACTCAAAATAAACCTTTCCTCCTTTTAAGTTGATTTTCTCAAAGCTTTTTGTTTGGTGTTGTTTTTTTGTGTGCTGCTGGGGATTGAACCCAGGGCCTTGTGCATGCAAGGCAAGCACTCTACCAACTGAGATATATCCCCAGCCCAAGTTGATTTTCTCTGGTATTTTTTGTCAGAGTAACAGGAAGCTGACTAACACACCCTAATGTTGCATATCCCAAGTGGCCCTGTCCAAAGACTCCTTTCATGTCAACTGCAGTTTGATTTGCAGGTATGTGTTGGCAAAGAGTCCAGATTCCTACATCCAGATGGCTGATCCCACCCAACTAATCCATCTTTCTTCATTCTTCCACACCCCTTCCCATGCCCACCCCCAGCTATTCAGCCATCCCTCAACAGGCCAAGCTTGCTCACCCCTCCATGCCCACAAGGGCAGCCTGCAGCATCTTCCATCTCTACACCTCCTTTCCAGGCAGAGCGGGCATTTTTTTTCTCTGTACTCCCATCATGCACCTGATGCTAAATCAATCACTTCCCTTTGCCCCACTTGCCTGTGACCTTCGAAGGACAAGGACCCCTGCCCCTAGCAGTGTTTACTAAATTTAACTGAATTATCAACCTTTCTGTCTCCCCCTGCCTCCATCCGAGGCCACCATTTCTCCTGGTGCTGAGAGACCACCCCTCCAACCCATGCAAGGAGTGTGTTCCTCCACCTCAAGATGCAACCTCCCACTCCCTTGCCCATCAGCTCAAATCTCCACCTCCACCCACTCTCACGAGAAATACAAAAAGGAAGGTGGAAGAAAAGGAAAGGAGG